AAAAAAAAAAACCTTTTTTTTTTTTTTTTTTTAACAAATATGTAACTTTGTGTGTTTGCCTTTGAAATCTTTTCTTAAAAAAAATATGTTTTATTGATTTTAGAGAGAGAGGAAGGGAGGAGAGAAACATGATGAGAGAGAAACATAAATCGGCTGCTTCCTGCACTCCCCCTACTGGGGTTCGAGCCTGCAACCTGGGCATGTGCCCTGACTAGGAATTGAACCAGGGACCTTTCCGTGTAAGTCACGATGCTCAACCAACTGAGCCACACTGGCCAGGGCTGCCTTTGAAATCTTTTAATTGTCATTTTGGTTGGATGGGTGACTAAGTACTGTTGCACACACAAAAATTAACTCAAAAAGGATCAAAGACCTCAATATAAGAGCAAATACTGTAAAACTCTTAGAAGAAAACATAAAGGAAAACTTCATGACATTGGATTTGGCAATGATTTATTGCATATAGCATGAAAACCACAGGCAATAAGAGAAAAAAATAAATTTGACTTCATCAAGATTAAAAACTTTTGTGCATATAAGGACACTATCAAGAGTGAAGAGCCCAGAGAATGGGGGAAAATATTTGCAAATCATCTGATAAGGTTAATATCCATAATATATCCATAATGTTCTACAACTCAACAACAAAAGTGAACAACCCAATTCAAAAATGGGTAAAGGAGCCCTGGCCATGGGTTCCATTCTAGGTCAGGGCATATACCTAGATTGCGGGTCAGTCAATGTTTCTCTCTCATCTCTCTCTTTTTCCTCTCTCTAAAATCAATTAACATATCCTCAGATGAAGATTAACCAAAAAATGGGTAAAGGACTTGATTAGATATTTTTCCAAAGAAAATATACAAATGGCCAATAAGCACATGAAAAAGATGCTTAACATCACTAGTTATTAGGAAAATGCAAACGAAAACCACAATGAGATACCACTTCGCACACATTAGGCTGGCCATTATACAAAACAAACAAAAAAGGGGAAATAAGTATTGGTGAGGATGTAGAGAAATTGAAACCATTTTGCATAGCTGTTGGGGATATAAAATGGTTTGCCTACTGGAAAACAGTTTGGTGGTTCCTCAAAAGTTAAACATAAATTACCATGTGACTCAGCAATTCCACCTCTAGGTATATATCTGAAATAATTGAAAGCGAAGATTCAAACAGATACTTGGACACCAATGTTCATAGCAGCATTAGTCACAATAGCCAACAGTTGGAAACAAGCCAAATGTCCACCAACAGATGAAGAGACAAACAAAAAGTGGTGTATGTGTACAATGGATTGGTAGTCTTTAAAAAATGAAATTCTGCTATGTGCTACAATATGGATGAATCTCAAAAACACTGCTAAGTGAAAGAAAGCAGACACAAAAGGACAAATATTGTGATTCCACTTATATGAGGTACCTAGAATTGGCAAATTTACAAAGACAGAAAGTAGAACAGAGGTTACCAAGCGTTCACTGGTCTTTCTCACAAGCTCAAAGATCAGAAATGAACTGCTAGTGTCTGGAATGACTATGCACTTGCTTCTATTTCATTATAGATTCACTTCCCTTTTCTGTTCTCTGGAGACAGAGCACAGTTGGATCAGCATCCTTTATAAGAGTGTTTTTTTTCTACAAGTTTCCCAAGGGCCATTACTAAGTGTGAAAAACATTGGGAAGATCACAGCAGGTTTGTATATGAGTCACTTTCCATCTGCATATGGTTAAGTGCACTTAAATTGCAATTTTTATCAAATAGAAAGGCAAAATAAAGCCCTTAATTACTGCTTCATTGGAGATTACTGTTTCCAGATTTTAATTGTCTATTACCCTCATGTATAGGAGGGTAGAAAGTCTTCTCAAAAGTATGTAGAGTCATATTGCTTTGAACATTGTCCTACGATCTCTTTTCAAAATTTCATAGTTCAAACAGATTCTCTCTAGAGTTCCTACGTTTTACTTTTTTAAAAATTTATTTATTGTCGACAGTATTACAGATGTCTCCATATTTCCTTCCTCTTCTTTGCACGCCTCTACCCAGCCCCTGCTCTACCCCAGGCCTTCACCACACTATTGTCTGTGTCCAAGGGTTGTGCATATATGCATATAAGTTCTTTGGTTAATCTTTTTAAAATCATAGAATGGGCACAGTTCTGGCTACAGTGCCTAATAACTCAGAGGTGCTAAAAGCCCCTTCCTCTCTTTAAAACCCATGCTCTCAAACAGAACCCAAGGTAAAGAGAATAGAAGAGATATGAGAGGGCAGGAGGGAGAGATTAGGACTAGAACTATAAGTGGTTAATCAAAGGACAGAAATGTTAGGTCTCTATCCACTCAGGTCTTGAGAAAGAACCTAAAATAGTCTCCAGAGACTAAGACACACCCAAAGGCCAGGGCACTGTATCCCCCTCTCAATGGGACTCTGATTCATCTTTTGGAAAGGTTCAGAGGCAGTCAGGGTAGGGCCTGACTGACGGAAGGAACCATCCAATGTGTGAATTTTCACAGTTTAGATTCTGGACATCCAGGGAACTACAAACTTATTGGGGTCAAACAGAGTATCGCAACTCTGGTGGAAAGAATGACTGACATTTCCATTTTCCCATTACACATGCCTAAACCCTGGGTACTCTTGAAATACTGTGGCCTCAAAATGGTACAAGAAACTGAATATTACAGGAAAGAAAACCACCTTCAATTCGATTTGTTCACAGTCTAGAAAACATTGTAACCTGCTATTACAGCCAAGTGATTGTGTTAAGATTGTATGGGGCTCTTCGAAGTTTGTTTCCTTTATAATGAACTCATGAGAATACAGATTGGAGTGAAGAATAAGAAGAGTATGAAAAATATAAGGTTACCATTTGGATGTTGCTTCCTTCCTCCTCTCTGGAAACAGAATTGGCAAAAAATCTTGCAGAATTAATACCATTTCTTCCTGGAGAGAGAAAGCTTGTCCGATTGCTAAGAACAAAAATATAGATGAGGTCAAAGCAATGTCTTACAGCTGCTCGGAAAGCCAGCCAGGAACTGACATGGCCCCCGCGGGGTTTCAGCCCCCCCTCCAGATATCACTTCCTTCCGGCCAAAGCCATTCTGAAAGCAGTGGACACTGCCCAGCAGCTTCTGTCCTACTCTGGGGCAAATGACTCCCAGTTCTCAAAGGCTACTTTCTTCCAGGCTTTCCTTTTGACACAGCTCATGCACTTTCTAGAAACAGACCGAGGCATCAGGTCATTTAGGAAAAACAACAACAACACTCCTTTGGGGCTCTCTTGTTTCCATTCAAAGTAAGCAGGAAAAGTAAGGAGGTGTGGCCATTCCTCTGATGGGATGCAGACAAGGCTGCAAATCAACTTTGGTCCTTCTCCTGAGCCAGAAGCTGAAAATATAGCTCATTGCAGAATTCTGCTTTACAAAGTGATTGTGTCTTGTGGCATTTAGAGTGAACCAACAAACTCCTGGGTTAGGCTCAGGACTCTGAAAATGTAACTTCTAAAAGGTGAGATGAGAGAATAGACACATTTTAGGGGTTGTCTACCACGCCCACGAGCCATCCCTCTTTTTCTGAGAATGCCCTTTGCCTGCTCTGTTCACAAAGTTGAGCTTCTGGAAACCATGTCTGGACCTCCTTCGGGCCATAGCTGATTCCACTCAAGCTGGGGCAATACAATTTCCTCTCCCAAGAATTGTGACTTGGGATAGAAAAAGAGCCTATCTCTGTTGATACTGGAATTGTAGCATGTAAATAAGCTCCGAGTCTATAGTACAGCTATTTTTGGCCATGAAGACTGTGCAACAAAGAAAAGAGTTCACCAAAGACAGAGGAAGGAGCAAATGTGGAGAGAAGTAGATGTTAGAGATTCCTTGGGTTCCAAACAGCATTCTCCTTCCTGATTCGAGTATCTTGGGAGGTTGGGTTATATTCCTTCCTTTCTGATCTACAAAACACTTCTGGCCTGTGATAATAAACCCTGTCCCTTCTTTTGCTTAAGCTAGGACAAGTGGGCTTCAACTACATTTAACCAAAGAGGCCTAACTAAGACTGGGAGTGCCTGTGCTGGATGAGGCCCCTTTGAGCAATCAGACACTTACCAAGGCACAGTGTGGGTCCTGGTTAGAGATGCATGTTCCCGGATGGTAGAGAGGTTTCTCAGGTCTAGGGGAGGTGGCCGTGCTACAAAGAAACACACAATATCCAGTAGGGTAAGATCTCAGGAGTTCAGGGAGAGAGTCTAGAGACTATAAAACTATGACATGGCACTTATCTAGCACATCAAATCCAAATGTGCTAAGCAAATACTCTTCTCCATCTCTCTGCCTGGTTAGTCATCTTTGGATCTCAGCTCAATATCCCCTGCTTAGGAAGGCCTTCTTTGACATCCAGACAAGATCAGATTCCACATCATGGGCTCTCATGAATTCCTGTACTTTCCCTTTATA